ACTTTGGTGGTTCTTATAAGGTTTTTTATCTTTTTTTTTTACAAAAGTGAGTAAAAATGTGTTTAATGTTTAAAATGTGTTTGATTTGATGGAGAATAAACAACACATCTGTAGTACAACACGATCTCTCATTTGTTGTATGAAACTATGATTGACTGTCATATTCCTAGTGATTTTAAAAGGCTTATGCATAGCAAAATATAGGGCAACATAATTTCAGTTTATGTGATTTGAGGACGGATTATTGCACCACAGAAGAAAGATTTATGTAGGTATTCAGTTAGACGTGTGCAAACAACATGCATTCAAAGTGCGCTCAATTGAACTCAGTCTTGGTGGTTTGCGTTAATCAGGTGGTGGTGGCCTGGGATGGTATCAAAATTCCCGGCCTGGATTATTGTCCCAGTCCGCCCCTGTTCCCTGACATGCTAATATTATTAGCATTAGCCAGGCGGAAATGGCAAAGTCGCACATGCGCAGTCAGGTCAGTTTTTCACGATCAGATAAAAATGAACAGATCAAGCGAAAACATACGCACCGATCGGGTTTCGGATCGGCGTAAACCACCCGTTTCATTCTGATCACACAAAAAATAACCCGAATGGAGTGTTTACATGACACACTTTTATTCCGACCGGCCATTTGATCCGGTTACTTATGTCCATGTAAACATACCCATTGATCAGCAGAACCGCAGAGAGAAAGCTGCGGATGCACTCAAAATATGCACCGGGTGAACGGCTCCTAAACTAAACGCTCTAAAAGAAAACAGCATGTCATGATCTCCGCTCTCGGCCACGCCCACTCCTCCACTGCAATCGCTGGCAGGTGGCAGAGAGCGGAGATCATGACAGTCTCTCGTGCGGCTCATCCATCAATCAGCCAATTGTGTCTTGTCCAATCTTACTTTGAAAAACCGCAAAAGAGCAAAAGACTACTGTACATAAGATCACGTCTTATAGTCAATAACTTTTTAAGAAATTAGCCATTAAAAATTGAATAATCATATATAATTATCTGTTCTTTATAGTTCAGATTTTGCCTTTCATTACCTTCTTCCCTTTTTAGCATCTTTAATGGATTATACTGTTAGCAAACAGAGTGCCTCTTTAAATGATGGTTTATGAGGTTTTTTTTACACCGTACTTTGTTGAGTTAACTGAGGTTTTGAGTTCAGTTCATTTAAATAT